GGCTGTAGAAACCTGAGTCAATATACACATCTGGCTCTTTTCAACAATACACACCATGGCCTTTTTTCTTAGCTCTGTTTTATAGCAAGGATATTTGATTTTAGAAACAATAGAAATAGTTTCGTCTTTCGCCTCCAGGAACCGAAACGGCGCTGTTAGGCCATTTTCTAGGAGTAAAACAGGTTATAGAAAATTAACATATCAGACGGTATAATTAATATTAAAATGCATAAAAAAGTTAACTTTCTCAATTTGCCATGTCAATTGCTATTAAGTCAAGTCTGTATAGTTAAAAAATCAAATTACCAAAGTCTGAATCAGGTTCTTCAACGTTTTGCTACCACGGGACATAACAATAAACTCGATAAATCCCGTAGGCCACGTATGCTAGATAATAAAGTTTAAAAAAGGAAGAAAAAAAATGGTAGTAAGAGGAGGATAACATTTAATGTAATTCTTGAGCCTGGTGAAGTTAGCTGTTTTTGAAACTATACTCATAACGTGTTTAGAATTTGAAAGAAGACCTTGTAGACAATATATTTTTTTCTTTTTTTTTTAGAATTACGTTCTCCTAAAATAATTAGGTTGAAAAATATTTTTTTTAAATTTTCATTAATTCTATACCTGTTTATATTTTATTTCTTATCAGTAAATTGTAAGTTTTATTTAAAGCTCGTTTTTTCTTTAATTGCTATTCTTTAAATTTCAAAAACGCCTTTTGTTAATACCAAATATTAAAAACCTTTGCAATTTTTTTATATTTTTATTAATTAACTAATTGTTTACGATAACCCACAATTAGATTTTCGGGGCTTAGTAAAAAACTGAACTTAACCATTTTTAATAGAAGGAAGAAAATTCAAATCGAGTTGTATTATATTAAAAAAGAAATATATGTATTTTGTTAGCTACCACCAGACCCAGATCACCCGTATTATATATTCTAAAAATCCTTGAAAAATAAGGAGAAAAAAAGTAAATAGCGTATACAAGTTTCAGAAGATTATCGAAACCAATTTTATTGCTTGACGAAACTTTATAGGTGCTTCTAAGAACGCCTTTCAACTTATCTCTATACGGGAATGCTGGAATATTTTCTCCGACATGTTCTCAAGATAAATTTTGACATGTCTACTTTTTTTGGAAATAGTTTATGTTAAGTAGTGACCAAGAAGTAAAACCTATGTATAACACTTATTTTCGATTCGAATACGATAGTATCTTGGGTAAAATAGTTGTTTTAAGAAAATTGAAGTTACATTTCACTTCATCCCAAACGAAATATAGATATAGAGTTAGAATGTTTCTTAAATAACGATTTCTAACATGGATACTTCTTATGTAAAAATTAATATCTATCTATGATATTTATCTTTTTTCGAATACGACAGATTCTCATGTTAACTAATATTTCGAAAGAAATTGAAGTATTTCATTTTATTGCTAATGAAATGTATGAATATCCCTTCATAACATGGTTACAATAGAGAATAGGATTGTTAGGATATGCTGTCAACATTAATTTTGACATATCTACTTTTTTTTTCTCCTTTGGAAACAATTTATGCTAAATAGTAACTAAAAAGTAAAACCTAGATAGGAATACGACAGTTTCTTGTGTAGAATAGTTATTTGAAAAAAGCTAGAAGTACTATTTAAATTAATTCCTGAAGAAATATAAATTTAGAAAAATAATAAGAGTGCTGGAATGTTTCCTGCTATATTTTCTAAATAATGATTTGTAATGAGATGCTTCTTGTGTAAAAATTAAAATCTATCTATGATATTTATTTTTTATTTAATACGATAGCTTCTCATATTAACTAGTATTTCTAAAATATTTGGAATATTTAGCTTTATCATTAATGAAATATATAAATACCACTTTATAACATGGCTACTATAGGGAATGTTAGGATATTTTCTCTGACATAGACTCAACATCAAATTTTAAAAGTGTACTTTTTTTGGAAAAAGTGTATGTTAAATGGAAACTAAAAAATAAAACCTATGTATAAAATTTATTTTTGCTTCGGATAAGATAGTTTCTAGCGTAAAATAGTTATTTTAAAAGTATTATTTAAATTCCTTCCTAATGAAATATAGATATAGAAAAAGAGCGAGAATGTTACAATGCTTCCTGCTATATTTTTTAAATAATGATTTGCAACATGGATACTTCTTATGTAAAAATTAAAATTTATCTATGACGTTTATTTTTTTATTAAATACTATACATATTAATTAGTATTCCTAAAAAATTTGGAATATTTAACTTTAATTTTTATTTAATACATTAATATCACTTTGTAACAGGGTTACTAGAGAGGGAATAGGAATATTTGGATATTTTCTTCCACACATTCTCAAAATCAATTTGCAACGCGTGTAGAGTGCAGGGAAAACTCCTGAAGGCACATAAACGGTTTAGCTGTGTGAATGAAGGTTGGGGATGCGTGAATGAATGCGTGTTTAAGCTTAAATAGAAGGTTTAGCACCTTCAACAATGCCCTGGACATTCATTTGGCTAATAAATCCAGGTGATATGGGAGGGGAAACACCTGTTGTACTTATGGTCAGCTTTGGATAGAGGTGAAAAAGGATGGCTTACCCTTCTTTTGACTCTTGACAAATAGGAGGGTTGAGGGGAACATTTAGGAATTGCGTTTTGTACATTTTGAGAAGTAGAGCTGAAATAATTTTGTCACAAATATTCGGTCAGCATTTTAAACAGCAACATTCTTTTAAATTAACGAAAATAATGTAGAGTTTTAATCCTTCCTGGCATTTTTCTTTCCCCATGTGACTTTTTATTATTATTATTATTATATAAATAAAATAAAGTATAGTTGGGTGAGAAAAATAGAGTGTTGAGCATTTTGTGGTCTCACATATGGGAGGGATGGAGCTTTTTCATTAAATTGAAAAGAATTTATCAATATTTGTCATTATTAAGGAAAAAATGAATGTTGGTTCAAAAATAACAAAAAATAACTAAATGAATAAATATATAACTGAAATAGAGATCGATATGTGTATATATAGTAGATATATATATATAGTAGATATATATATATATGTAAATGAATGATATTAATTTTATTTAAAGAAAGTTCAAACGCTATAAGATTTAATTGGGTTCATTAGATTGTGTTCTAATGCATATTTTAGTGTATCTCACTTTTTCTTCAACTATGTTAAAAAAAAATAGAGGTTCAGTTCGGGAAACCAATGGCTAAGTAGGCGAGTTTTTAAAATAATATTCCTTACGTGAATTAATTCGACAATTTTATAAGATTTTATTCCGACTTAAAAATATAATTTAATCCTTTTTTATTTTATTAATATTTTTATTTTAAGAATTTATATAAACCCCCAATACAGTTTCCGTTGCAAAATTATTTTTCTGTCACTGTACTACATTAAAAATTTAAGCAATCCAAGCAAGGAAACCTTCCATTTCTTTTGTTGCTATACTCAGCTATATTTCATTTAAAATAAGTGTTTGAAAAATATATAAGAATAAAAGAAGCTTATGGGTGATAACATGCAGAATATTTGATATTTTTTTTATTAAAGAAAAATCATCCAAATAGTTCTTAAAATATAAGAATAAAAGAAATAATCTGATTTTTGAGTTTTCATTTTTTTTGAACTAAAATCTTAATTTTATTCAAATGTTTGATTGAATTATTAGAATTTGCATTGTTTAAGACAATGTAATAATTTTCGTAAGTTATAATTGAACATTTTTCCAACATTATTAATTTGAATATCAGTTTAGATAAAAAATTATCTCTTAGGAAATTAGTTTTGCAAATGAGTGCAACCATTTTTAATTCCCTTAAACAATTTTTAATTTGTTACAATTTGTAACAATTTCGAATTTGTTAAAAAATACTAGTCCTAATATTTGATATTTCCCGTATTTTGAGAGTCAAAAGTGGCATAAAAAGAGTTATGTTAATTCAAAAAGGAATTTTTTCGTTTGGATTTTTAACTTAATTTATGAGTAGACTTACTAGCATATTTAAAGAATATCCTTCGAACTACTAAGGTTGCCTTTTAATATCTTAAAATCCGATCATTAGATAAAAAGTTAGTTAGGTTAAACTCTTTTCTTTTTTCATTTGGTTCACACATACAAGTATATTTTTAGTTGATTCGAATACTCATTATATAAATTCATGTATATTTATTATGGTCATAACCATATACTATTACGGTTGAATCCATTACATTTGTAATAATCATTTTCGGTTTCAAACGAGGAAACTTAAAATAATTAGAAAGTACAACATTAATTTTGAACCTATATTGAGTAGTTTATAGTGCAATATAACACTACAATTTACAACACGATGATGTATATATAGTTCGAAGTAGCTTTACTTATTTCTCATAAACAGTAACAGTACTATTATTATTTCACGGCTCAAAAAGTTGATAAATAAATTTATGTAATACTGTTTAAATATAAATGAAGAACACACAAAATCATTGGAGTTTAAAAATAAAGAGCGGGGGTAAGCTTTTTGTCGTTTACGATGACAGAATCTTAGAAATCCTAAGAAAATCTTAATTTTGATGAAAATTTAATTAAAATAGCTAATAATTTTGCTATTGCCTCTAACATTTCTAGGAATAGTCACCTGACATTTCATATACATAAAAAAGAACATACGTTAAGTTTATTCTAGATCCTTGATATTTCAATTTGTTCATAAATCACGCCGAATAATTTTTCTTTGCTCTACAAACATAGAAGCGTTCCGGAGGATGATATTTAAATGACATCCTTTAATAACACCCCTTGCTGAAGGGCTGTCTCACTTAACAAAATTGATCGCTCAGTGCTTCAGGCCTTCATCCGCTGCATGTCAATTAATTGATGCTAAAAAAAACGAAAACAAATCTGTCTTAAATTGTTATTCAATACGGAGACAAATGCATGCTCGAAGAATTGAAAGGTGGCACGTAAGACGGAAGCAGCCGTTGTGTGGCTATCGTCTGCTGCAAACTGAAGTGCGCATGCCCATATTGGTCCAGTCAATCCCTTCATTCAACGGCGGGTAGTGGCAACTTGTTCGGTATATCGTGGAACAGTTGATAGCGATTTCGCTCCACATTTGACAGCATTATTGGCGGTGCGTTTAACGTAAACAGTTGATTATTTGACAGCTCTTTTGCAAAAGGATAATGTTACAGTTATAGAATCATTATTATACGTTAATTATTAATTGAGAGATTATTTTAAAAGCTTGACAAATATGTAAATACAATAAATTTCGTTTATTTATATATCGTTTTCAAAATAAGAAAATGAATCAGACTGAAGTGTTAAAAGTATTTCAAGAGTGATATTTGAAATACGAAAAAAAATTTATAAAGGATATATACATTATATTTAAAGATATATTATACAAGAGGATCATAGACAATGAATATGGAATTCAAAATGTTGGAATTATCGTTTGCTTCCTTTTTTCTGCTATGTCTTCTCAACTCTGCCCATTCATTTGTAAGTAAATTTTGTGACTAGAATTAAATGTTAAATGCTTGTTAAAATAAGGGTTAATTGTTCTAAAGTTTTAAAAAACATTATTTATTAATTGAGAGAATTAATATATTTAGAACTTGATATTATGTAAGTATAATATATTTAATTTATTTATTCATCGTTTTCAAAATAACAATATGACTGAATCAGACTGAAATGTTATAAGAGTTTTGAAATTGATATTTGAAGCACCAAAAAAATTATAAAAATATTTGCATTATATTTAAAGCTGTATTATGTTAGAAGATTATTCATAAATGAGTATGGAATTGTAAATTTGGGAATAAGAGTTTTTTTTCCCCCTGTGCTAAGATTTTCAATTCTACTCATTCATATGTAAGTGGAACTTGAAATCAAGTTTAGAAGAAAAATTTATTAACTTGAAACTAAAAGTTCATTTTATAATAAGATTTGCGTCAAAAGTATTAAATTTTATTAATTTTTTTATTAAGTACATTACTTGCATTTCGCTGGTCTATATTCAATCATTAACAATTTTTAAATTTTATGTAATTCATTTAGTGATTAACTTTTAAATCTTTAGCTATAATATATTTAGAAATAAATAAATTAATGTTTGTGAAGCATAACACATTTTACTTAAAAATTTAAAGACATTTTAGAGAAATGTTAATCAAAATTGTTCTTTGTATTTAATTATTTAAATAATTAGCCGTTTAAAAAATATTTTACACACAACCTATACTTAAGCAAATATCAATTAATTTTAAAAAGCCTTATGCCTAGAGAATTCTATCTATTTTTTAATTCTTATTTCAATTGCAGGTAATGTTTGACACTTATTGTACTCTCATTGTTTAATCAACAAAAATGTTGTGGGGATTACTTTAGTTACGCGTAGGGTAATAAGTGACTTCATTAATTGTTGGGAAAGGACATGTAAACTAGTGGCTATTTTATTTCATTATTTTTTTTTTATTTTTCTTATAACCTATTTGAAAATTATTCAACTGTCAACAAAATGAGCAATAACAAACTAATTAATAATCAATTGTAATTAAAAGTAGCAATCATTGTAATTGCGTAAAGTTAATTCTTTCAAAATAGCTGAACAAACAACAAGAAGAGATAAATTATTATGTCCGGTCAAATAAGTTTATCAGTGTCACAATTAAAAAAATAATTTTTATTTTTTATTTTTTTTATCAGACCAGTATTTTTTTACATAATTAGAGGAAACTTATCTATAAAATGGTGCACATTGTTCAAAGAAAAAAAATGGATATCTTGAATAATTTTTGGATGATCGGATTTTAGTGTACTAGGGCGCAATCTTAAGTGTTCGATTGCCTAACTTTAAATATGCTAACTGATTAGTGTAGACGATATTTTAAGTTTCGAAATCAGACACCAAAACATATTTTCTCTGAATTAACACACCTATTTTTTCGACACGTACGGATTTTGGTCCCTAAAAATACAGGGAGATAGTAGCAATCTGTTTGACACAATAGTTTAGAATAAATAATAGTTTAGAATAAATAATAGCTTAGAATAAATAATAATTTAGAATAAATAATAGTTTAGAATAATTTAAAAATATGATCACAATAGTTTAGACAGGAGAGCAGTCGAAAGTTTGATCCCCTTAATGTTAATTTCACTTTTTAAATTTTTGAATACAGCTGGAGAACCCATTAAGCAAATCGAAAAAAATATTTCGCACAATTATAAAATTCATTTATTTAAGGATGAAAAATAATTTTTAACAATTAGTTATTATTTAATTTTTAAATAGTCTAAACAATTTTGATTTGTAAGGCAAAATCGTTTTCGCATAATTTTAAAGTTTGTAATTTTAAATGACAAAATATAAAATAAATTTGAATAAAATCAATCGAATAGTTTCTGAGTATGTCGATTTTAAAAAATTGTATATTTGAAGTTTGATTTCTGAGTAAAATTTTTTATCAATTCGCTTAAAAATTTCTTGAGACACAGGGAAGAGTAGTCCCAAACTTTTGACTGCTCTTCTTCTTGACCTATTTGGACCATATTTTCCGGATAGAGGCTGCATGCCGTATTTTGAGGATAAAGAATTCTAATCCATTAAAAAAAAAAAATACGCTTCTGATACCAAAACGTATTAACCGGGTTCGAATCACAGTCGATACGAATTCCGCATCCGGCTAGCACCGACCACAGTGCTGACGTGAAATATCTTCAGTGGTAGACGGATCATGGGTTAGAGTCCCCTTGCCGTCAGGCTAACCGTGGGAGGTTCTCGTGGTCTTGCTCTGCATGTAATGCAAACGCGGGTTAGCTGCTTAAAAAAGTCCTCCATGAAGGCAAATTTCTCCCAATACTCAATCCAGGAGTTCATTTGACTGCTGAATTGGGTTCAAAATTACATGGCTACGGAGTTGAACATTAGTAGTCGTAAACCCATAAGATTGCGTCAGCTGTTCAACGACGGTTATAATATAAAATAAAATAAACATACCTAAGCCGCGAATGGCTCAGGGGATAGGGCGTTCGCTTTCCAATGCGGCGAGCCGGGTTCGAACCCCAGTCGATACGAATTCCGCATCCGGCTTGTGCCGACCATAGTGCTGACGTGAAATATCCTCAGTGGTAGACGGATCATGGGTTAGAGTCCCCTTGCCGTTAGGCTAACCATGGGAGGTTCTCGTGGTCTTCCTCTCCATGTAACGCAAATGAGGGTTGGTTCCATCAAAAAGTCCTCCACGAAGACAAAATTTCTCCCAAAGCTCGATCCAGGACTTCCCTTGTCTTCTGGATTGCATTAAAAAATAGAAGGATACGGAGTTGAATATGGGTCATAAACCCATAAAATTGGGTCGGATGTTTAACGATGGTTATAAAAAGAAGTTTAAAAAAAAAAAAAAGTGCTTCTGGTAAGTGCTATAANAAAAAAAAAAAAAAAAAAAAACATGCCTATTTTTCGACACATTCAGTTTTCGATTCCTCAAAATATAGGGAGATTACATCTATCTGGAGAATATTATTACAATAGTTTAGGCAATAGTTAGAACGTTTTTACGTCTGAGTTTGCATCTTGAAATATCGACTGCATTAGTTAATTAGCATATTTAAGGTTAGGCTTTCGAACCATTAAGGTTAAGTCCAAATGCGTGAAATAACGATCATTTGATAAAAAGATCATTTCTTTTATATTAGGGAATCATTTACAAATCCGTTACATGATTAAACAAGACTGACATTAGATTTAATACGTGCGTTTTTTTTTAGTTATCATTTGTTTCATGATAACTAGATTATATTTTGAATTCCTTTTTTTAAAATGAAATTGTTTCAGATTGAATATTACAGTCATTATGTAAAAGTGTTAATTTTAAATATCACAATAGACAATGATATTGTATGAAAGTCATTTTGGTACATAACAAATTATTTTTAATACTTTTTTTTAAAATTGAAACGAAAAAAAAAAGAAAGAATTTAAATGATAAGAATGCAAATTTCAATTTATTTGATGTGAAATATAATTAAAAATTAAGTTTCTTATGATCGAATTTTAAATTCGATTACAAACCTTGCAACTTTTCTGAAATGGATTTTCTAAATTTCATGTAAGAAATATAATTATGTCACCATATCTATTATTTATTCTTCAAATGTTCTATAATATTTACGAAATTATCAGTATTTCAAAAATACTAATCATAACTAAACATATTTGTACAATAAATTCTGTAAAAATAATTTAACCAGTATTCTTGTAAAAGTATGCAATCTGTTAAGAAATATACAAACAATTTTTATTAGATTTTTATTCGAAATCAGTAAGTTTAAAGTGTGTAATTGGTTATGAAATATCCAAGGGTTCAATATTTTATCATTTTTTCTTCAGTATGTGTTTTAATTCATTGTAATACATAAGACACACTTTATTTTTAAAACACGCTCCACGTTATTTAACTCCAGTTCCTTGATTCTCTCTTTTCCCTTGCCTCTTTTTTAAAATAGATATTTGTGCGACTATAATTGTCTGAATTACGTGAAAATAATTATGTATGGTGGATAAACATTTAACTATTATGTTTTGCTTTATTAACAGAGTAAGGGTTTAAAAAAACTTTTTCACTGTAAAATTACGGTTTTTATAGTCTATGTTATTATGTAATATGTACTAAATTTTAAAAAAGTTAACTTAAACATTTCGAAAATAGTAAAGAAGCTTTTAAATTAAAAATCAAGGGATATTTCTAGGATCTCGCAAAGTTGCGCATAAGAGCACAGTCGTTTCTGAGAATTATTTTTCCGCATTTTAACCGTTTTCAAAGTTTTGATTCAAAATTCTTTTCTTATCAGCTTGATGTGTAAAATAGGATTCCAATTCTTGTTATCAAACACTTTCAGGGGTTATTCTTTTTTTAGTGATTAACTCATTCACACGTGATCAGAACTAATCGTTTAAATTATCGTTTGCTATTTTGAGACTGTTATTCTCTGTCCACACTATTTTTAAAATGTAAACTAACTTCATACTTTTGTTTATATGGGCTGACATGTGTGGTATTGATATGTAGATATGTTTATTTAAAAATAATTAGTACTCTGACTTTTAAACGAATTAATAAAAGAAAAAAAATGTATGTACTCCAATAATGAATTCGATTTTTTTAATAGTGCTAACTGCTATAAAATTCTAACTGTTAGATGCTAATTGTTATAAGAAGGAATTGGACCACGTCGAACCACAATATCTTAGATATTCGTTGCAATCTCAATGCGGTGTCAAATTTATCCATGCTATTGTGCAAATTAATCCTTGCTAAATTTGATTACATATTATTTTGATTCAACATAATATTAAGGTATCTTAAAGTTTCTATATATTTGCACGATAAAAGATTCAAAACCAAATCTAATATTTTTGAAATTGTTGAATTAAACATTAAAATAAACTATTTTTTGGAAATTAAGCAGTTTTATAGAAATGATTTGTAAGCTAC